ACAAAAATGCACATGAATCAAGTTCTAATATACTGTATGATGGGTGGATGAGGCAGTCCATTGTACCATTTCCTTCCTTGGATTCTCAGGCATGGTTTGGCAGTGCAAGAACTCTGTAACATTAACAAATTCAATAAAAAGTAAATGCTATTACTGTGGATTGTGATGGTTTTTATTCCACGCCTTTAACCTGTCTTTGGAAATGGTACCATCAATTCCAAATGTACCATCAATGGTACATTGATGTCAGGCTCCTTGCCAGTGGGTGGATCCTATCTTGGGAGTGTGCTTGTGTCTGAGAAACAGTACAGTGTTAGTGATCCATGGAGTGAAAATGGGTGCGCAAACAAGTGTTTAAAGCAAGGGTGTATCAGATCAGTTGACTAAAGATTTGAGGCTTTGTCCCTTGAAGCTTTTTTTATATACATTTTTTTTTAGAAATAAATATGAATGAGACAGTTTCACAGCTGATTAATAGGACAGTTTTGATAGTCAATACACTATACATTGTTCTCTTCTTAGTGGTTATCCATCGTACAAGAAGCAGAGAGGATATTCTGTCCAAACTCTGTTAGTACACCTCTTCTCATGGAGTTAGAAGCGTTTTCTCAAAAGCTCAGCAGTTTTAAATTTCAGGATTTGTTTGTATCATAGTCCCTAAATTTCTAAACCGGAGAAGGTATGTTGTATATAGTTTACATAGGTTTGAATATATTCTCAAGGTTATGCAACTGTTAAAGCTCATAATTCCCAAATATTTTCATTATTATAAAACCAAAACATACCCATCAATTCTCACCTTACCCACACATTTCTCAGCTCCAGGAAGCCAGTATTCTGTTTCTGGCCTCTAGATTTTCCTTTTCCTACTGGACATTGGTACTTAAAGGGTTATAGAGGCTGGGTATAGTGGCCCATGTCTACAATCCTAGCACCTAGGGAGCCGAGGGAGGATTGCTACAAGTTGGAGGCCAGCCTATGCTACAGAGCAAGTTGCAGGACAGCCAAAACTATGTAACAAAACCCTGTCTCAAAAAACAAAGATCTTTTGAGTTGTTATACTAGGGAGACTATACAATATTTACATATGTGTGTCTGGTTTATTTCATGTATATATTCAAGTGGCATCCACTTCAATATAAAGGCTTCGAGTTTATCATTCTTAATTGATGAATAATACTCCATTGTGTAAAAATACCACATCTTTTTCAACCATTCCTCAAGTGATGGGCATGTTGGTGTTTCCAAGATTTGGCTATCACAAATTGTGCTGCTATAAACATAGGCACACATATATCACTATGATAGGATATTTTCAGATCCTCTGGGAAAATTCCCAGTAGAGGAATAGCTGGTTTAAATGGGATTTCCAGTCCAACTTTTCTAAGGAGTCTTCATACTGATTTCCATAACAGTTGCACTAATCTGCATTCCCACCAGCAGTGGAGAAGGGTTCCTTTTTCCCCACAGCCTCTCCACCATTTGTTGTTGGGTGATTTCTTTATGATAGCCATTCTTTCTGGGGTGAGATACCTCAACATTGTTTTAATTTGCATTTCACGGATGGGTACAGATGTGGAGCATTTTTTCATATACTTATTCGCTTCTTTAATTTATTCCTCAGAAGAGTTGTATTCATCTCAGATGCCCATTTCTGGATTGGGTCTTTAAATTTGGGGGCCCAAGTGTTTTTTAGTTCTTTATAGAAGAAATACAAATAGAAAGGTATAATACAAGTAAAAGGAAAGCAGGATCTCAAGGACTAACTAATCTAGAGAGGGAAAGGAGAAGAGCTAGGAAACATGAGTAAGTCAAGCCATACAGTTATATGTAGAAGATGGGCAAGGCAGTGTTCCTGAGAATCTTGAGATGATTTTTTAATCTAGCAGAAAATTGGAAAGATTCTCACCCAACTATATATACTGATACCTGTGAGCTGAGCTACTGCACTGCAGATGGTAATTTGTAATAGTAGTTTCATGCTTGGACTGCCTGTCATTCTGGTTTTCTGAATATGGGCTGCTTGTCATTACATGCCAGTTGCTGCTACCATGTCTCGGGTAGGTGGTGGTTCAAGAAGAAGGGGGTGGTGAATGAAAGCAAGACACAGGAAAAGGAATATTGTGGGACTGTCCTGCTTCAAGGTTGTATATGGTGAGATTTTTGGATTTATGTGTAAACATAAGAAGTATATAATTCTTTATGCCTATTTTTAAAATATATTCTAATTTTTAAATTTTTTTTTATCATATTCT